TACATTCTTTTTTTTTTAATGGATTATACTAGCCAGTATACTAAGGACATTGTCCATCCTTAGTCTTTTAAAATCTAATAGTAATTATTTTACCACTTTTAGACAACAGAATGATTTTAGAACACTCGAATACCATATTTCCCCCTCACACTTTTTCTACCAGCTTTGTTACTTGTCTTAATGATAATAGAAATATCTTGTGGGAATATTTTGTATTAACATAGTCTTCATTTGAATTTATTTATATCAATGTCCATTTTCCAGCCTCTCCCTTCCAAAACACTGAATTTTCATCTGGAATTCTTTTTCTTCTGCCTGAAGAACTCAGTATTTGTTTTAGAGTAGACTTGATGGTATAAATCACTCAGTTGGTTTTTTTTCCTGAAACTCTTTATTGAAGGCCATTTTTTGCTATGGTGGTTTTCTTTGGCTCTTAGCAGTTTTAATGTAGTGTACTAAATTTTTTGTTTTTTTCTTTCTTGAGGTTAATAGAGCCTTTCAAAGGTGATACCAAATTCTGGTTACAGCTCTTCTGTCACAGCACAAGCGGTATATCTCTCTTGCCACAGCAGTCGTGTTATAGCACTTGTTTGGCAGCTCACGTATTACAAGACAATTATTGGTGGGAAACTCAAACGATCTCTTGAGCAGATTGCCAAAGAAGCTCTGTGGGGAAGTGAAGTCTGCTGCATGCAAAAGAAGTTTTCATCTGTGAAATTTTGGTGGGTGGGAAGTTTCAAGAAGTGATTTGTCTACTTTCAATCCTGGCATGGCATTTTCTTCTTGGCAGTGTATGGGTCTGCATAAGCCAGATTGCATGGGTACCTGAACGAGTAGAACCTGACCCTCAGCAGCCTCCTAGTTCTGTCTTGTTACCTAGATTCCATTTAGCTCCATGTGCATTTTCCTTTATTTATAAAGCCTCTTTAATATGAGGTTGGTAGTCTTCTGTCAGCTGTAGGAAATAGTCATTATTTGTTCAAATAATGCTCAAACAATTACAAGTCTCTTTCTTCAAAGGTTCTGTTGCAGGGCAGTAAGAGAGGCACCCCGAACTCCCAAACCTGCTCATTCCAAATAGAGAAGTTCCGCCATCCACTATATCTTGACAAAACATATATGACCTTTAATGAGAAGGAACTTTAACGCTATAATGTGCAACCAAAAAAAAAAAAAAAATAGTTTCCAAGTCAAGACCCAAAGTTACCTGTCCCCTTGTAGGTAATTGTCCAACCAAACAGGGTTGACCCAAAGCAAGGCCCCAGAGTCTGCCACAAGCCTAAAGCACCTTCTAGTGGGGACCCATAAGAAAAGGACAGAAGGGGGCAGCACATCTGGGACAGGAGGAGCAAAATCAAGGTAAAACTTGCCATTGCTAACCTGGTCTCTCACCCACATCTTTTTCAACCAAGCCCAGGACTGAGAGGCAAGGACAGTTTCTTCACACATCTCTCTGCTCCACATGCCTCCTTCAGCTCTATTTGTGGCTTTCCATCCATCTTCCTTCCATTCCAGTGTCCTCTCTAGCTTTTTCCTCCCTGCTGAACTCCACCTTTCCTTGGCTGGGACAGGGAACCTGGAACATCCCCTTTCCCTGGGGACCACCCTGTTAACTTCAAGTTAACATATCTATTACACCGTTGAGCAATATGCCCCGTGTTTCGTTTGTTCAGTTCTTTATGTCCCATCTTTTTGTTTTTTCACCTGCCTTTTGAGTTACTATATTTTTCTGCATATATGCCCACTTTACACCTAATTTCTTAATCTTGTCACTTAATTTCTTGACTAGTTAAGAATTATTTCAAAGCCAATGATAGAAAAATCCCTTGAGTGAGTCTATTTCTGTTTTCTACTTGTTTTTCTTTGTTTTCAATCAAACCTTTCGTTTTGATGCCTGTTAATTTTCAATGTGTTGGACATTGTGTATCACTGCCCAAAAATTGCAATGAAAATTTGAAATTTTTTATGATTTCTTATTTTTTCAGGAAAATTTACTGTAGCTTTGGCAGATCATCCTAATTATCTAGTGAGTGCTTGAGATTATTCCAACCTGGACTTCATTCCCTATTTATTGACTTTAAGGATCTCAAGAGGAAATTCTGCCTTCAAACATGTATTTATTCAGTTTTTTTGGTTCTACTCAGTTGGATGAGTTAGCCAATCTGGAAGTTGAACCAGATGAAGTATATTCATTCATTCATTCAGCTGTTGATGTTCTAGTGGTGATTGTTGGTTTGTCTATTTTGATTTTTACAAAACATTCAAGTACTTTTGACTTTGGGGAGGCTCACTTCTCTCAGATCCCCTATATTCATTACATTTGCCCTTGTCCGTTGTCCTCTGCTATTAATGGAGATTGGGTAAAACTTTTAAGAAATATAGTGGAAAAGCACTGACTTTGTGAGCAGACAGACTTAGGTTCAAATTGTGGCTCTTCTTGAATATGTCAGTTTGCATAAATTATATATAAATTTTTTCAAAATTCTGATTGTTCCCAATGACATTCATAGTGAGAATGAATAATAAAATTTAAGTTAAATTTTATTTTCAGGTGAAATAAAGTTTGGATTCCACCCTGGCGGTTGGTAGATGGTGGGCAAACTTATTTTTAAATTGTCGGGGTATTTGGAAATTGTAGCCTAAGGACAATTCTTAAAGCAATTTAAAGGTTTACCATATAGTGACTATTTTTAGCAAATCCTTTAAAGGATTTGGACTGACAATTCAACATGCATATTTGTTAATTAGCCACTTAACCTGGTGGTAGGTATTCCTTGTTAGGATCTTGCAGTTCAATGAGATAACAAGAGAAAGATGTGAGCAGATAAAGGTTGCATCCAGCATTGCAGTGAAGCTTGGGTATTAAAAGTACAAGAGTGGACAAACTTTATATAAAGGACCAGATGGGCTTCATCAGACAGACATATTACCTCTTATGCAACTGTTCAACTCTGCTGTTACAGTGGAAAGACAATCACAGCCTGCACATAAATGAATGGACATGGGTGTGTTCTAGTAAAATGTTATTTACAAAAACAGGTGGTAGACTGGTTTTTGTCCCATGAGTCCCCAAACTGTACTGATTCTAACACTCCATAAGCTAGGAATGATTTTTATATTAAAGCTGTTTCATAATAAGGAAGGAAAAGAATATGCAAGAGACCATATGTGTGTGACCCACAAAGCCTGATGTATTTTATTTGTATCCTTTATGAAAAAAAGTTTACCACCCTTGGGGCTAGAGAATAGATGATGATTTCTACTGAAAGAGAAAAAGTTAAATCTAAGTACTGCCATGGTAAGGAAAAAGAGAATGTGGCAAGCAAGTGTAGGTCCACAAAGGAAGGTGCCAAGAACAGTAATTCTGTGTGCAAATGCTAACAGATAGACTTATCCTCTTTCCATCAATGCTTTATCCTTGTTAACTTGTCTATAATTTGCTGTTTTAGCTGCAAATAGAGGGATAAACGTATGGATAAAAGTGAAATAGTTTTAGAAAGGTTCTATGTGGGAGGAATTAACTTTCTAGTATTGCTAAAAGTTATCAAACTTTATTTACTTTCGGTATGTAATTACTTTAATAATTTATGACATCCTGCTACTTCTTTTCTTACAGAAATACACTATCGGGAAATGGCCCCTAAATCTTGGCTGAATTTTTTAACTTTCCTCTGTGGATCTGCAATTGGATTTGTTCTCTGTTCTCAGCTACTTAGTATTTTGTTGGGTGAGCAGGATGATACCCAGCCTAATATTCTTCATAATGATCCTCATGCTATTCATTCAGATGATGATGGACAGAGTCATCTAAAAGGACAGATAAACTTCAATGCAGATGTTAGTCAACATAAAGGTATGGTTTATTAAAGAGTAAGCACAAACAGTATGTTTCAGTCTATGTGTAAGTGTTAAGAGAATATAAGAAAGTTATTTGTGAATTTTGTTATGTCACCTTTTATGGAAATGGCCTTATGCAGATATCCAATGATAGTTCTTAGTTTTTGCCTCAGGAGAAGGAAATTTAAATCTGAAACCCTGATGTATTTAGGGAGTGAGTTATTAATTTTGAACTCGAGTTTAAGTAGAAATAGTTCAGGAGCCATAATTTAAAAAAAGAAAACTTTTCAAATTAGATTTGTTTCTGAAAATTTTCTTCAGCTTACTTTTTCTATTGTGGTTTATATCTGTACCTTTGCTGGCAAAGATGCTTGATATCTTATTTTAGTCTCAATTTAATTTATAAATATAAATTATGTATATATAGTTCTCAAATTATATTCACACATAAATCTCAGTTTATATTTTTATCATAGTCGTTTCTCCTATTCAGCATCAAAAACTGGGGAAGTTGAAAACTAAAGATAGAATGATTTTTATCTCCTGACCTATCTCTAACCACATTTTCTCAATTGAAATCTCTGTGTGCACCTTAAAATGTTGGTTTTCTCCAAGTGTCTGTTCTTTGAAACTCTGCTAGTGTGATATCATCCCCTCCCATATTATAATTTCCAGCTATTCCTTACTGCTTTTTCATAGCCTACTTCCAGGCACTATGAGAAGTCATTAACATGATCCAGGTATTTCTACAAATTGTAATTGATTGGACAGAAAAGAATACAAATAGCTTTAAAACAATGGATGCAGAGCCCTTCCCCCTACTTCCCTCCCCCCCATTAAGAACTGTTAATCTTTCGAACAGTAAGTTATTTTTGACCTACCTCTTAAGCTGAGGTTGAGGAGCAAGATATCAAATCCTAGCTGAGTTTTATAACTGGTTATATGCAGACTATTACAAAGTAGGGTCGCATTGTGTGGATGTTTATATAATAGTGATTCAGTTCAGAGTAGGTAGTCTGTGTTCTTATCATAGACAGCTTGAGCACTGTGCCCTGCCTCCGGAAGCATCACTCCAGATGTTCTAATGACCTTTTAGAGCCAGTCTTCTCTACTACTGCAGGCATATTAATTAGGTACTCTACCTGTCCTGCTTGATGGTTCGCAAAATGTAGATTTTGCAGAAAGTCTGTCTATTCCTCACTGTGTAAATCAAACTCCTCTTCTTTTCCTTCCTATTCCTAAAACTTGTCCTTCTTTTCTGTATTCCTTATTACCATCTGCCTAAGCCATATTAAGAAATCATGGAAAATGCTCCTCTTTGCTGGCCAGTCAATGCCATTTGTCACTAAATTCTAACAGCTCTACAGCTTTATCACTTCAGATTTCTTTTTGCAGTCCATAGTATTTTTCTCTTAATTCAGTCCTCCATTTATTCCCATGTACCTACCTACACTGCCAAACTTAGTGCTTTTTGTGCTCTCTTCCAATAAACTTCCACTCATTTAAAAACCTAGTTTTTTAAATATTATCTCTTAGTTTTTATAATATTGCTTTATTATCTCCCCTTTTTCTGTTTTACCTAGTTCCCATTCCACTGCTCTGTAGGATTTAATACCCACTGCTGTCTTTTCCCAGAGCACATTGAACCCGTGTGCATACCTTTATTACATAACTTCTTAGTATGTGGCTAGTATTTGTTGCATGCCAAGCTTCTTTACAGGCTGAGTTGTTCTTTAGTAGAACATGTGTTACTCATCTTTTCATTTCCTGTGCCAGCACATGTCTACTATAAAGTACTTAATGAATAATTGAAATAATATCTGTTGTATTCCAGTAATGGGGAGAGAGTTGTATTTCTGTAATGAAATTATTTAGGGAATCTTCATAAAGGATTTAGTCTATCTGTATAGCTAGGCGATTGGGTTTCTAAAGTATGTAAACTAAAAGGCTCTCTGAAAATAGGATGATGCTGTCTGTATTGAAATAGTGCATTCTTTAGTAGAGGGTTGTGATAATATTTTCATATCCTGTTCAAACTTACTTTCTATTCCTCTTAAATCAGTGAACTAGAAGTTCATCTCTGCAGTATTAATTTATCACAGGATTGAGCTTTTGTAACTCACTAGTAATTCTTTAATGATATACTTCCTTAGGATTCTGCCTAACATGCTACTACAGCTTGTGGTTTGCAGGCTCATACTGTCCCACAACTAAATAAGTATTGAAATGAAGGTTAAATAGAAATACAAAATTTAAGACTTGTATTTTGTTCTTTTTTTTTTCTAGTAATTCATTTTCAGCAAATTTGTACAGTACAGTTTTCTGTAACTATTAGAAATAAAAGTTCATGGTTTTACCAAGCACTGATATGAAATCTTACAGTTGAACTTCCTATCAAAATGTGCTTGGTGCTGGCAAGGATCTTTTGAATTGTTTGTTACCTGTCTGCACCCAGATAAATAGCTTGCACCAAGAGTGCACAGGACTGTGGTGATGGCACACTGGTGAATTGATGGTGGGAAGCCCATGGGGATTACAACTGAGATGAGAAAATGCACAAAATGAAGAATGATGTAAAAAATAAGTAAAATAAAAAGCTTACACCAATATATAAATAAGTTTAGCTGCTTAGTTAAAGTGGGAGAGAAGTAAGATTTCCTCAAAAATGGCTAATCTGATATTAGCCATTTATTTCTTTGCAAATCAGTATTTCAGAAAATACTATTCTAGACAGACTGTGGTCTCTACCTGTCCTTTTGTTCTATTTTCAGCTAGTTGTTTTGCATTTTGAATGATGTTACTATTATAAGTAATCTTAGTCCTGCATTAACTCCTCATTTTCTAACCGGTTTAGTCATGAAAACCTTTTTAAAGCCACCTCACTGTACTGTAGAAACTGATAACAGTGAACTCTTGTGAGCTTCAAAATGAACTGCCACTTCAGCAGCATATCTTTCCTGCTCATAGTTTATTCAGAGCTGAGGAATTCCAGTGTGTTGCAGCTTTCTTTGTAAAATGAAATGCAGAGACTATCTAACACAGTGCTTAATACGCATACAAATCACCAGGAGAACTTGTTAAATTGCAGATCTGATTCAGTCTGGGGTGGGTCCTGAGATGCATTTCTAATAAACTGGCAGGTGATGCTGATGCTATTTGGTCAATGACTCACAACTCAAATGGTGAGGGTTTAAGTCACTGTGACAACTCTCCTTAATTCCAACTGATCATCTGGGGAAGATTGACATGAAACCAATAAATCATTAAATCATTTCTCATTAGATGGGATTCTGCTTTCTTTCAGCTAAATCTCTAATGGTAGAGAGGTACATGAGCAGGGGGAGGATCTTTGAAATTGTTTAATTGTCTTTTTCCAAAGATGGCATGATTTTACTCTTGTGTATAGAGAAAGCAAACAGACAGGTAGAGCTAAATAAAACAAAATAAACCTTTGGACAATACGATTGATTAGTGACTGCCAGAAGGGTAGAGAAACAGAGTGGGTAAATTAGGGCAAGGGAGACAATGGTATGATGAAGGACGGAATTGAACTTCTAGTGGTAAACTTAATGGAGTGTATATACATGTTGATTCTCAATGATGTACTTAATCATCAAAACTTAATGTTACAGTACAATGTTACTTTGATTTAAAAAATATGTTTAAATGATCTATCAAGAAAATAACTAAATATCATTTTGACATTTTTTGTTTGATAGATGAGAACACAGTTGTTGCGGAACGCCTCTATCAGAAAGTTAGAATTCTTTGCTGGGTTATGACAGGACCTCAAAATTTAGAAAAAAAGGCCAAACACGTCAAAGCTACATGGGCCCAGCGCTGTAATAAAGTATTGTTTATGAGTTCAGAAGAAAATAAAGACTTCCCCGCTGTGGGATTAGAAACCAGAGAAGGCAGAGACCAACTATACTGGAAAACAATTAAGGCTTTTCAATATGTTCATGATCATTATTTAGAAGATGCTGATTGGTTTATGAAAGCAGATGATGATACTTATGTTATACTAGACAATTTGAGATGGCTTCTTTCAAAATACAACCCTGAAGAACCCATTTACTTTGGGAGAAGATTTAAACCCTATGTAAAGCAGGGCTACATGAGTGGAGGAGCTGGATATGTACTGAGCAAAGAAGCCTTGAAGAGATTTGTTAACGCATTTAAAACAGACAAATGTACACATAGTTCCTCCATTGAAGATTTAGCACTGGGGAGATGCATGGAAATTATAAATGTAAAAGCAGGTGATTCCAGAGATACCATTGGAAAAGAAACTTTTCATCCCTTTGTTCCAGAGCACCACTTAATCAAAGGTTATCTACCTAAAACTTTTTGGTACTGGAATTACAACTTTTATCCTCCCATAGAGGTAAGTGTAGAAACTTTAATATATAAATACTTAAGACCAGCTTTTGTTTACTTTTTAAAAATATTGTGTTTGTTTTTTCATCCAATAACTAAGAGTCCCCGTTGGTCTTTATAGACAGTGGAAGTATAACAAAATAGTTGAGAACAAGAGCATCAACAAAATCAGTCAGTACTGGCAACATATGCTAGGCACCAGAAAGCATAGCAATTAATATGGATGGCAAGTTCTAGTTCTCATGAACTGTACATTCTGGATGAAAATAATTAATGTCTTAAAGGGATAGATAGTGACCAGAGTGGAGTGGAATTCTTTAGGTTGGATAATTTAGGAAGGCCTTCCTAAGGGGTAACATTTGAACAGAAAGTGGAATGAGGTTAGAAAGCAGACTGTATGAACATCTGGGGTAAAGAGCCTTCAGGAACTACACATGAAAAGAGGTGGTTCAGAAAGGCATAGATTCAAATCCTGCTCTCCCACTTCATAGTTGAATAACAGATGAACAGCATTTGCCTAACTTCTGAGCTTCAGTTTCCTCATTTGTAAAATGTACCTGACTTACCTGTCTCATGCAATCGTAACATCGTAACTCTAATATAGTACAGATTCCTATTATACCTAAGTACTTTATTTCTCCTTGACACCTTAGCTTACATCCTATGAATTTTGTGTAAAGTACATTATTTCATTAAATAATTCAGAAGCATAAATATTTGAGAATAATATAATATCTTGTACCCACCAGCCAACTTTGCCAAATATTGATCTTTTGCTTTTGTTTCAGATATTCTTAAGAAAAAAAAAAATGTAGGTGTTATTGAGGCTCATGTTCTATTCCAAGTACGGTTATCTGATCTCCTGAGTTAAGCACTTTATCATGAATTTAATATTTATCATTGCCATGCATATTTTTATATTTTCTTAACATATTTACATATCTATAAGTAATATATAGGTCTGTTTTACAGGTTTTAATTTTATTTATTTTTAAAGATGTGTTTATATTTATTTATGCATACAAGAGCTGGGGTATAGGCTAGTGATGCGGAGGAGAGGAGGTTTGAGAGGAGTCACCAGAGACAGTAGGGAGCAGAACAGGCAGATCTACTACAATACACTGCTGAGGGCAGCAGCAAGCAAGGCAGAGAAGGTCTGCTGCACCATATGGGTTAGCTCCCTTGCTGGAGAGCAAACTCCTATTTCAGTGGCTGGCTACCATTTTATTGCTATTGTAGGTGCAATAATTTCCCATACTATAAAATAGATGTATTCCAAGTCTGTCTTTTGATAGTACATTTTTGGTTTATTTTAGTGTGGATGTTTTTTGATGTAACTTTTCTTAATACATATTGACCTTTCCAAGATTATTTGACTTCTTCCCAAGATTACATCTTTTCTCTTCTAAAAATATACCCAAACTCAAGAACACTACAAATATATATATATCAAATACACTTTACATATAAGATTTTATGAAGAATATTTTATATTGGTAATATACAATAGTAGCAAAGAGATGTGATAGTTTTCATTATCTTGTAACCAGTTAAATATCCTTTCCATGTAAGAGTACGGCCCATTTCTACTTACAGAGTATACCTTACAGTATGTTTTACATGAACAAAATAAATATTTCTGGGCCCTCCCTGGTGGCACAGCTGGTTAAAGCACAGCACTATGAAGCTATCACAGCCACTGCTGCATGAGTTCGATCCCCAGCCAGGAAGCTGACCCTCATGGTGTGGCAGACCTCTTGTGTCTGCTCCCCTCAGCAGTGTATTTCAGTCCATCTGCCTGTTCTGCTCCTCACTCTGTCTCTGGTGAATACTCTCACCCCCTCATACCTCTGGCCTGTACCCCAGTTCTGTATGCATAAATAAATAAATCTTTTTTAAAATTCTAATAAATATTTCTGTAGTGCATGTTTTATTTAAGCTAATAGTGGGTTTTAAAATGGATCACAAAACTATATTCTCCCTATACAAATATATTTAGTTGTATTAAGGCTGTAAAATAGCTCTGGAATGGCAGAATTGACTCAACTTTCTTAATACTGCCCATCTTCTATAAAGAGGTTCTGTATAAATCCAATATGAAATCAAAATTCAATTATTTATCCATCATTTAATAAGTTTTCTTCTCTCTAGTTGAGTTACTGTTTTCAAAGCCTTGCTAACTTTCATACATACATTTTTTTTTCTTTGAAGTAATCATTGAAAGTACTGTAGGGCCCTTCCTGGTGGTGCATCGGGTTAAAGCACAGCTCTAAGAAGCTTAAGCCACTTCCGCATGAGTTCAATCCCTGCCTGCCCCAGAGGTGACCCACGTGGCGAGGCAGACCTCTCCTGAACCGCCCGCTGCTCCCCTCAGCAGTGTACTTTGTCAATCTGCCTGTTCTGCTCCCCGCTCTGTCTCTAGTGAATCCTCTTACCCTCCACATCTCTGGCCTGTACCCCAGTTCTGTACGAATAAATAAATCTTAAAAAAAAAAAGTGCTGTAGAATATTTTAAAATATTCTACTTAATCAGTTTCTTAGATTGTTCAGAGCTTACTCCTCCCATACCAACTTTTCAGATTCCTAGATATGAATCTATTCCCTATGAATAGCTTTTCCCTAGAAATAGATTTTTCACCAGAGAATTTGCAGTCTTAATTTACTTAGCTTGTGCTTCATAGTTTTCTTCAGATCTTCCATTTCTTCCTAAATATCTCCCTAGGTTAAGTATTTAATGTTCTCATTACTGTTCTCCTTGAACTCTTTCGTATTTTTAAACTGGTATATATAAAAGCTATAACTAACTTAAAACTTACTCTTCTGGCATTCCTTATTTCTGATGATCTTTTCACTTTGACTTTCTTGAGTTTTGGGGCCTAACTGAATCAGAGGCAAAGAATAATTTTGTTTCCAGTAATAATAGCTGTTTTATTGCCTTCTATTTTTTTTAATGTGTGATAACTATCTTGGCCATAGAGTTTAAAAATACAATTAGTATGTGATCAATGCAGTACATCTTATTTAAATAGCAGCATTACAGTATTTCAAAGTTACATAAAAATTGTTCCTACAGAGGGTCCGTAATTAGAAATGAATTGCGCTTGCTCTAATCTTTTAGTTTAATAGTAATGATTGATATAGTAACCACTAATTATACATGACTTTTTAGTGCTTGAAATAGGACTAATTCAGATTAAGATTTGTTATAAGTGTAAAATTCACATCTAATTTCAAGGAAAAGTAATAATTATTAATAATGTTTAAAATATTGTATGTTGAAAAATAGATTTGTTTAATTAAATAAAATATATTCAATTTAATTTTACTTGTTAACTTTTTGAGTGTGGCCCACATACATCTATGGAACTGGTTTAGATAATCACAGGTTGACTTTTCTGTTTATTTTTCATATTTGTCCTTTTATATTTCCTAAAGGTGTAAAAAGTAGGCTCTAGATACTCTTACAATGCCTACATGATTATCCAGTATATGAGTGGACCAAGTATACATTTTATGAAAGTGAAAAATGATGTAAAAATATACTTAAAATTAAAAAAAGAAAAGCTATTATTACTAGAAACAAAATTATTCCTTGCATCTGACTCATTATCTCCTGTTTGGTGTTTTATTCAAAGGAAAATTTAGAGAAATGGCCAGTGAAAAAAGCATAATGAACAATTTCTTGATAACTTTTATTATATTGTAAGCTACATACTTCCATACATGAATTATTAAATGCTTAGTTTAATAGCTCAATGTGAATCTTCTTTGAAATGTTGCCAGACTCTTTCCCTGGCTCCTTGGAAAAGACATATGAAGTCTTGTTGGAATCATCTGAGTGATCTGCAGATATCTAACCCAAAATAACAATTGTGATTGTTAATTCTGGGACCAGTCTGTTTTCTTGTTGTTTTTTTTTTCTTGCTTTTTTGCTCCTGTTAGCTTTCTATCATCTTGTTTTAATACTGTTCTTATACCAACTCCTTCACAAATCAGTGAGAGTTCAATAACTAAATAAAGTTTTGACTCTGACCTCCTTTCTGAATGTGATTATTCTGTCAATAATAGCTAACATTTATTGAGCACTTACTGTAGACAAGACACATTATGTTCTTTTACCACCTTTCACAGATGAAAAAGTTAACTTGTACAAGGTTATATACTTACGAGCAAAATTTGAATTCAAATTTAAGTTTGACTCATTATCTCCTGCTTAAATACTGTAATGTTTGAATTAGTATGTAGATAAAATAGGTTGTACACATAATGTACAAGGCATGAAGTTTCAAAGTTGTCTTTCTGCAGCTTAGCCAACAAATTTACCATATGAAAATTGTGACATGAAAGCAAAACTTGGAGAAATGGTACCTTATTCTTTGTATATCTTTCTCTTTCATTTGAAGAAGTCTCAATTTTTTTTCTGCTAGACTTTGTAGAGTATGGGCGAATGTTATTTCAGAAATACTTTAGCAATTTCATCTTTGGTTTTAACTCACCAGAAAGTCCTAAAAAAGTGGTTTCTGATATTAGAAACCTTTACTTGCTTTGCTTTGCAAACTTTAATGCTTGAATGTTAAAATTAGGGTTTCTCTTATCAATATGTGACTATTAACATGTTTAAAATGTGCTGTTTATTAATAATGCCTGTTTCCACTACCTTTTTTTAGGGTCCTGGTTGCTGTTCTGACCTTGCAGTTTCTTTTCACTATGTTGATCCTACAACTATGTATGAGTTAGAATACCTCGTTTATCATCTTCGTCCATATGGTTACTTATACAGATATCAACCTGCCCTACCTGAGAATAATCTAAAGGAAATAAGTAAAGCATACAGAAATGAAGATCCAAAAGTAAAATCGTGAACCCTTGAGAGAAAAGCATTAAGTGAACAGAGGTAAAATGTCTAACATTGCACTGAAGAAGACGTCTGCATTTCTCATTTAGAACACTGGAATCCCAGTGAGGAATTCTTTTGCATTGAGCATTCCATATTAGAAATCTTGCAGATGAATGACTGTAAACTGAAGCTTTAAGTGAGCTAAAAAATCTGTTAAAATGTGTTTTGATACAGTAATTAATATATGTGTATGTGTGTGTGTGTATTTTTATGAAAAAACTGGTGTTTTTAAAGTGGCCAAAGGGACTAGAAAAGAGAGATTGTTGCCAATTCTGACCACATATTATTTCATTGAGAAACTAAAACATTTAAATTTGCTAAAATTAAAATGCACTGTGTTAGTAATACTTGATGCTAAACAGATCTACCTTAAAGAAAATTTAGGGATAATATTGTTGCTCAGTGTTTATAAACTCAAGACATGAGTTTATATTACAGTATGATATAAATAAACCAACCTCCTGCCCCCCCCACCACATACACAGTTTTTGTTGAATGAAGATTTTGCTGACTATAATTAGCAGTATTTCTTCCAGAAGAAGGTGGAATAAGAATGGCACTTATACTAAAGTGCATTAATAAAACCACAATTTGAAATTATCATGGGCCTTGATTGTATTATATATTTGGTTCTGGTTTGTAATTAATCTTTTACTAAGTCCCTGTTGTCTCTTCTAAATATGTTTAACAACTCTTGAATACCATTGTCATTATTAATATTTATTTACTAAAACCATTAGTTGCATTCTATAAAAATGCATTTTAAAATATTTTGTTCCAAATTTACCCATTTTATTTTGAGTAACAAATATAGTAAATTTAATGCTATTTGGGGGTGTTTATCTTATATCAGTTCCACTTTCTTGAATTGAGAAGTTATGTTTTTAATTATTTCAAACTTTTTCAACTACAAAGTTATAATTCCTTTTGTTCTCATCCAAAAAGATTAGAACTTGTTTGTGCCTTTCATGATTTGTTTAAAACAGTGTTTTATAATTCTGTTTTAGAATCTGAGGTGGCTGTTAGTTTTACTGGCAATATAATTTGAATGCAGGGGGTTCAGACCAAAGTTAATTAAAATCATTAATGTGTTTAAACAAACTGAAATATGTCATATTTTCAAATGTAATTTATGAACAACAGCTGGATTTTTTATGCCAACTGCTGTTTTAGGACGATTGTCTTTCCAGTGGATAATTCTGATGGAGCAGAATACCCATTCAGCGCTTTCATCAAAAATACTTTGCAAATGCTTCATTCAAATTTTAGTGACTGTTTAAAGTTTCTGGGATGGAAGATAATTTAAATTTTTTTTACCTTAGCAATATTATATGTATATACCTAAATAGAGTAATTTAGACTTTCTCTGTGATTGTCTTAAACATTACTAATGATTTACATTTCTCCTCAGTTTGTCATTATAATATTTCTTCATGGCAGTCATGTTATTGACTCTGCTACTTAGTTTATATTTACCGCACCAAAACATCAAAACCAAGATCAATTTAAATTATAAATTTGAGAGGATGTTCATTTTAGCACCTGTTTATGAATTACTGTCCACATAGTTAAAAACTCATCAGTGTTTACCTGTTAAATTAAATTTTCTTGTTTTTATGATGGCTTCACCCCCAAATTTCAAGGCATTCATTCTGTTTTTTGAACAGTTCCTTACCTTGGTGTGGACATGAATTTATTTGCAGTCTTCTTTTCTGCACTAAAGAATAGAGTTTATCATAAATATTCAACACTTTGAATTTACTGACAGGAAATTAATATTGTGATGAATCCCAGGTTCTGGAATCAAACTATCTGGGTTTAAATTCTTGTTCTATAAATTAACTAGTTTGTGCCTCAATTTACTCATCTGTAAATTAGGGATAATAATACTACCTACCTCACAGGATTTTTATGAGGATTATATATATATATCAGTATTTACAACGCTGTCTGGCCCAGAGTGTGGAGCAATAAATGTAAGGTTTTTATTATTCTGTTACCTTGGTATGTAAATATTTTATTTAAATGAATGGGAAAAAATCTGCTTTACTAAAATAGATATTGAAGGAACTGTTTCTTACAATAAACAATAGCTAGTTTTATCTTGTGCCTACTATATATATGCCAGGTATTTAGGTACTCTGCATACATTAATGTTAATCATCACAGATTAGGTGTTATTCCCAAGTTATAGATGAGAAAACTGAGGCTCCGAATTAAAATACTTTTCCACTGTCACAAAGCTAGTAAGTAAGACACCTGGATATATACCCAAAATCTGTGTTTTCTTTGTGCCATGTTCTGAAGTTGATCATTTAGCATTACTTCTGTTTTTACTTATATGACATCTGACACATTGGCCAGTAATAGTCAAGTTAACCAAATTGTCATAGTGGTTCTCAACACTCTTACCTGGGAACTGTTTAAAACGCAGTGTTCAGGACCCCAGTCCTGGAAATTCTGATTCTAGTATGGCCACTTCTCCCTCTCCCCACCCCCGAAATATCAGTCCTCAACCAAGCTTTAAGGGTGGCAGCAAACAGTTCTGTTTAAGCAAGCCTACCGGTTGAGTCTTACTCATCTCACTTGAGAACCACTGTACAAAAATCCAGGTGATTTTGCTTTCAAATCTTGTTGAGGATTACTATCCTGTTAAATAAGTTACCTTTCAAAGACTTAGATAAAGCATATTTTACATCACTGTTGTACATGATCACACGATATTCAAGCTGAGTAACTCTAAAGATCATTTAAAGGGTCAATGGATAGTGCATTTTGGCAGAATTCTTTAGCTTCTTCAAAGTGACTATGACTCATGATAAAATCTCTATTTGTTCAAGTTTAGTAGTTTCAAATTGAGTCAGAAAGTGTTCATAAAGTACTAGCAAATATATTCTAACTTAATTAGAGCATACTTAAATGCGTATCATAAAAATTATCCACAATTGTTAGGGAAAAGTTTCTAGAGATAACAAAATGCAGTTTTTGTATGCAGAATGTTTTCTCCTACTTCATACTATCAAAATTTCATCATTTTTCAGGATCAGTTATATGTCCTAAGAAGCAAAAATTTCTCCATATTTGATAGAGTATATAAAACCAAATTTCATGATAATAAGATTTACCCTTTTAAAATTAAGATCTTTGTCATTTGGATAAATGACTAGTGTAGTCTCAAAGCTGGAGGCTTTTGATCTCTTATGTTTTCCAATAATGGTATACTTGTGTTTTCTAGTGGGATGTTCATGGATGATAGAAAGCAGATTTTTGTGCCAGAGTTCAAGTATTTGTTTTTAAATAAATTTCAGAGGAAATTTTGTTACTGTAAGATTTTCCATAAATCCCTCATCACTTAGTAATATTTTTTTTCAAAATACAGTAATTGGACTTGAGTATTAAATTTACTAACTGGTATTTTTACAATTGTTTCCTGAATATTAATGTTACACTTCCTTAATTCTTTCAAGCTATATTACTATCACACTGAGGCTTAAAAAATTCCTTACTTTTATTATATTAAATCTGTCTTCTTATTTTTCAGTTTGAATAGTCTGTCTTTAACAGTTCTGCTTCTTTGTACTTATTGCCCTTTTTTATTTCCTTTATAACTAATTTCCATTATGTAGTTACTCTTAGTGCTTCCTATATGAGGTTAATTTGGCTATTACTAGTAATTAGAATTTGTGTCACTTACTGTTAATTTTATACCTATTAACTTTAGGTTTTCCTATGAAATTGAAAGTAAAATTCTAAGAATAATGCCTGCTCACCCTCAGGTTACTTTAAAAATCCACAATTTTAAACTAATTCTAGATACACAGTAACTAAATGAATTAAAATCATTTGGACTTCATCTCTCACCCACTTTCACCTCTATGTACCCACCCTTTTCTCAAAAATAAAACTCATGTGTCACGTTTTCTACTTATTGTATGCCCAAATGAAACATACTTAAGAAATCTGGGAGACAACCTGTGGTTTATTTTATGCTACATATTACCTCTGTTAATTTTTAAAACATGACATGTCTATATGTTGGAGTTGAACTAGAAATATTAATACAGGTTAAAATAAACATTTTTATTAAATTCTCTTTAGAGAAATCAACTCTAAAACTAGTTTTAAACAGAATTACTAAAACTAGTTTTAGAGTTGAATAGTAATTCTGTTTCAATTCTTTTACCTTTCTGCAAGACCCTATAAGTTAATGATTCGTATAAAATATATTATTAGAGGGATACTAATCTTACTGCTAAGCAGTGTGTTATATTACACAGTGAATGTTTGTTTGGGAATCTAAAAATTATATAAGGTAATAGTATCATGACTGATTTAAAAATGTCTGGTGACTTGCTTATTTTAAGTGATCAGAAAATAAGTCAGAAAAATGTATTTTTAAATGTTTTTTAAAGTGCCTTTTGAACGTTTTTAAATAATGAATTTAAATAACTGCATAAAATAAATTACCATGTTTAAAGCTGCTTTATCTGATTATTTTTAAATTATGTAAAAGTTGTAAGAGACTTTGCTTTTATGGGTAGTTTTGGGTGATTTTTCAAAAAATGTTAATTTAAATTGTTTTTCCATCGCTGTTCTTCAAGTTTTACTGATAGACATATTTACTTTATAGAAACAAAACATTCTCTGATTTTAAATAATGTCCCTTAAAAACTGTAGGACATAGGGTGTGTGTGTGTGTGTGTGTGTGTGTGTGTGTAGAAAAAGAAAGGCTATTTTTCTTGGTATATTTTTTATGCTATGTGTACTAGCGATTTGTTATTTGTTCTTTATTTGTTAAAAGGAGATCATTTTGCCCAGCATATACTAGAAGTACCTGGTGAGCAAGATGTAAGGATGCTTGTTCTCATAGAGCCCTAATTCTACGTAGAGAATTAAAAGTAACTCGATGCATGAGCAAAATATTTCAGTTGTGTTAGGAAAATAAGAGGGTTATGACATTTCAGTCATCTATCAAGGAAGACCAGTAAGCAGGCAACATTTGCTCTGAAACATACACGACTGACATTTTATACTTCAAAAGTTACATCTATGAATTCTTTGCTCCTACTTTATAGGTAGAATAATCTATCTTTGTTTAGTTATCTTTTAGTCATATATGAAGACTCAGTTAAAGGGCCTTCTGCAGGCCAAAAATCTGTTTTTGAGAGCTCAGGTCTGTCTAGGAATTTTAGGATACAAATAACAATTGACCTATCTCTTCCTAGTCAAATACAAATGTTTATAAGGCCCTTGATTCTAGCACGTCTGCCTTGGTTTTCAGCAACCTACTACCCAGTATGTAATTTATTGATGTGTATTATACACACATGTATATATGTATATGTATGTATGCATATATATATTCATTTGTAGTAAGCAAGCTTTGTAGAAAAACTGGTGTGATAAATGCTATTTCATATTGCTTTAGTAGCAGAGTTATGTGATTTTAGCATTAAGATAACATGTTTTTCAGTTAACTACATTTAGTTCTGCTGCTAATTATGCCATTAGAACAGAGATTGGTTTACTTAAACACGTGCAGAATTACTGACTTTTTTTAAATTTTTCAAAGGTATAGTCTTGGAAAGTATAGAATTGTTGTTCAGTTTATGTTCTTTATAAAGAGAACTCTATCCCAAACATACTTTATATCAATCTAATAACATATACTGCCCAAAAAGAAATTCCTTTAATGTTTAAAAGTGAATAAACATTTAA